CCCCAAAACCCCAAAACCCCAAAACCCCATATAATTATTTTGGAATTGAAAGCTTTCTTATACTTTGAAACCCATAGATAGTGAAAAGGCTAGTCAAGGAAATAAAAAAGACAAGGATGTTGATACAGGTGGAACTAAGGCCCTTAGTCGTAAGTCATCTCGTAAAAAAAGAATTATGTTCAAAGAAACAGGTGTTAAACAATGTAAGCAAATTATGCAATTTGTAGCAATCAAAGAGGTACCAGAAAATAGTCTTATTTTTCTCTAAACAATAAGGCTTCTCCTGTGGCTATCAAGAAGATTGATCTCTTGTCACTTCTGAAAGACAACATCTTATCTCTGAATGACCAGATTGTGAACCACATTGAATCTAAAGATCAAGGACTTCTTTTGAAATTGCCAAAGCTCACGAATAATTTCATTAACAAGTACTTGAAAGGTAAATTATTTGTCTTAAAAACAGATGAGCTCTCTAAAATTTGTCCTTCAGAATCTGGTATGGCAGCAAGTAAGGTTTATTTTTATATGTAGCTACTAGAAAGGCTGTGACTAGCCTATGAAGAGGCTTCTCGTGTGAACTAGTCGGTACAAATAGTATCAAGGTGTCAATCCCAGCTCCTGTAATATCAACAGATAATGCAGAAATTCAGACTTTGGGTATTTTGTAAATAACTCTGTAGATCCTCAAGCAGTAGAGATAAAAAATCTTCAATCAATAACATCACATAAATCATCCGAAATCTCATCTCTAAAATCAATTATCTCTACAAAAAATTCACATATACCTTCGAAAAAATTAACATATCTCTAAACCCCTCATATCTCTTCTAAAAATCCTCAAAATTTCACACCTCAAGTCTAAAATACATCTACCAACATAAGCCAATTTCTGTTAAATTTCAGCATAAAAATCCCCTAAAATCCCTATAGAGCCGTCCCTCCCCACCACCTGTACTGCTCTCCTCACTTTCTGATCCTCTTCTGTGAAACTTTGGTTTTCAGGAATTCTAAAATAGTGGCTTTATAATAGAGAAAGAGAATTAACAAAATAACCTCCAAATAGATCACCTTCGTGCAGAAGTCAGCACTCTCAGAACCAAAGAGCTCCAATGAGGTAATCATCAGAACTCCACTTGTAAAATTTCTGCTGATTCTTGGCTATATTATCCAGATAGATTAGTTAGATACTTTTAGATTTTACAGAACAAAGAGTCCCTGAAAAGTTTGTAGCATTAGTGTAATCCCAATATCTTCAGATATCCTCTGAAAAATCAGAACTAAAGGAATAGCCCCAAAAGGTCTATTCCGAAGTTAAAACTAAGATAAAGGATGACGGAGATTTATTACCAACCTTTTTAATTAACATTAGGGCAATTACAGGCTGAAATCACAGAGTTTGAAGTCCAGATTGAGAACAGCAGGTCGCAAGCTAAAGGTCTGGAGAATGACAGAGACAAGTAAAAGGGACAGGTTGAGCTTGGTATCGTGAGCTTTAAAGACGATAGAACATGCTTTATTTACTACCGATCATGCCAAGAAAGGAAAGACTACAGGAGCTAATTCATATAGTTGATGATACTGAGATAATTATTAGTGAGATACCCTGCTTAACCGCCTTGTGTAGATTTGAAACTTGAGCTACAAACTTTCCAAGACAAAGCTCAAATTTTACAAGATGAATGCAAAACACATTTGACTCAGATAAATAAGATCTCTCAGCTGCAAACCCAGCTCAGCTCCCAAAAAAGGTCCGTTCCTTCCATGAGCTTTAGCAAGTTTCAGTCAGAAATATGCAGTCAAGCCAAGGTCATCAAGGAGCTCAGCCAGAACGTGGTCATGCTTACAGGGGGTTTGCAGAGCTGAACTGTCATTGAATGTTGTAAAGATGGGTTAATGGACTTATGAACAAAATAAGCTCAAGGATTCTAAAGGCTACTCCATGTACTGGTCAGTGTGCTGATGATACTATTATTCTCATGCTAAAGAATCCAAACCTTCATAACAGTTATGGGCTCTCTTAGACACTTGCATTTGTTTGGATACTCTTCTCTTATAGTGAGGCTAACAATCTGTTCCTTTGACTTTCTTTGAAGTCATATCTGAATTCTAGCCTCAATATTTAGAGCCTAGAAATGACACCCTTTTTCTTATCTCACTTTTATAAGTATCTTTAGCTTGTCACTTCCCATCACCCCATGAGACCCATTCGGACATGAGCCAATTTTATTCGAGTATTCAGGGAGTTTCTAATAAATGTCTTCGTCTTTGCTTTAAAAGCAAATTAGCTATCATACACCTTCTGTTTCTCACGTAGCCTTCCAAACTATCATAATTACTATGAAGCTAGTTTCATGATTTTCTCTTGATAAGTCTAAATCTTCAGAAATCTATCAAATTTAGCTATCCAAACCTGTAAGAGTACTCCTCCAAAAAGACTAAATGTGAGTAAAAATGTTTATTAAGAAGAAATAATCCATTGGGTTTCCAGCTTCATCAATTACTGCTGATTTGTACAATCTGCTTAGCTTTTATGCCTACGCGCCTTTCTCATCCTACAGCTTTTAGAACTAGACTATCTCTGCTTTCACCTTTTGGACGGTCCTTTATTGTTTTGAAATCTTACCCTCCATTTCCATTTTGTGCCTGCTTTCAGCTTGTCTCTTCAACTCAGCATCTCTCTTTCTCTTAGAGTTGTTGACTAACTGATAAAACCTTCTTTTTTCCAGAGCTATTATTCAGATCTTCAACTTATTTGGGTGCGAGCCTTCTTCAGTGAAAGCTTTGGTGGACCTTAGGAGGATTCTCAGTGAGATATTCCTCTTTTTGATAAATTCGTTTGCTCTATTAATCATAACTTTCCCGATGAAGTCTGTAAAATCCTCTCTAATCAAAATATTTATTATATGGGCAGATCAGAAGGAAAGGACTCACCAACATTGCATACACATTGCTTTGGTAGCCATCTAAATGCCTGAGACTCTGGAAGGTATCTCCGAAAATCACTTCAGTGGTCTGCAAACTTCCATGTATCTACCAGTAACAGTCCTTCACCATTGGATAAGTTGATAAGGATGACTTTCTTCCACAAGACAAACTAAATGCTTTGAATTTTATTCCTTACCAGTTTTACAACATCAAGGATATCAGCAACATAGTCTCAATTGGCATCTGGCTTAAATGGTAGGTAAATCTGAGCTCTTCTGTTTAGCAAATTTTCGACCTCTAACTTTGACCTTCATTTTAAAGCCATATCACGAACACCGAGGCTAATCCATTCACTATCCCTTCTATAATCTAACCTTTCTAATATTCTTAATCTCTTTCTATAACCTTCCTTGTTAAGCCTCTAGCTTGCACAAACTTACCCAAACTTCATCCCTACCATAAACTTCCTTCTAATTACCTTCAAAACCTGCCAATTCGGATCTCTAATAGAAGTATCATCAATAATTAACTCTGAAGCCAAAATTAAAGTACTCATTTTCATAATTTCTGGTTTTATTAAGCACTATTCTAAAGTTTAAGGGATGACTTATTAATAATGTAAGCGCTCTGATTAGGTATATTGGCAGCTGTTCATGGTTGGAAATAGTTAGATCCTGATGTGAATGAAGAAGAGAATTATTGAGGTTTAGAGTTAGAAGGTGGTATTGGTAACCGGAAGATTGGGAATGAAGGGCTAAAGATTAGTGGTCATGATGGAGATGTGTTTGGATAATTAGAGCAGTAATTCTTTGGTATGTGGAATGAATGAGACTGAATAGGGAGGTATAGTTTGATTTAATGCTCAAGGAATATGTAGGTTTTCTCAAAGATCCTTCTTTGAATTGGGTGAGGCTCTGAAATAAGTTTGAAACCCTCAGTACCACACAGAAGAATGAAAGTGACTCAGATAAGACGACAGAGAGTAAAATAATTAAATCTCTAAAGAAGGGAGGAGGCATTTGAAAAGATCTGTCAATATGAGAAAAACGTCCATCCATAATATGCTGGAATAAAAAAATGAACCAATATAGATCATATCCCTCTTAAACCTCAACAAGTCTACTTTGAGAAGAATTCAGAGTAATAAGGAAATAAAACCTGTCAAATGAGAAAAGAGCCATAAGGTTTCGTGGTGGAAGATCCTCCACTCTCATAGTGTAACCTACTGAATTTAGAATTTTATCTTTGATAGTGTTGGGCCAATCTATAGAAGACAAATTCAGTTCCACTTCAGAAGAGAGGAGCCTATATTTTTCAGGAAAGCCCAGATAAATTACTAACTGAAGAGAAGACTGAATAGAAGCTTAAAAGAAGGATTCTTCAAGATCTCTCAAATATAACCATAAGAGGATGCTTATTCAAAAATTGATATTTATATTAAAGCAGGCTCAGACTTTGCTGGAGGTTACATTCTTCATCAATTTTAATGAAACCAACTTTGGGAATAACACAAAAACAGAATATAGCTGACTTAAAAGAAAAAAGCCAGGAAAATAAAGGATAAGTTATTCAAAGGAAGTTTGAAGGTGATTACCTACATCTAATTGTGTGAATATTTCTGAACTGTTTGTTGAGAAAGACTAGCAACTCAGAAGCTTTTATCGAGCTTCTAAAGAATGACATAAAGATAAGAATAAGAGCTGATCTATAGAAGGTTTGCTCTAGTGTCGGATAACAGTAGTATTCAATATGCAGAGAACACTACGGGGTTTTGGGGTTTTGGGGTTTTGGGG